TGTTGAAATACTTTGGTTGTGTTTAATTCAGAGCAATTCCAGCGTCTGTCTCGAAATAGTCTTTGACAGTGCTTTAAAGCCATTGAGACGGCTTCCTCCACGATGCCTTTAAGTTTGTAGAAATGGCATAGCTTTAACTCGTCTTTGGTAAACCATTTATGGATTCCTGCTGTGCAGTTTTGCTCTGCGTCTTTGCTCATTCCTGATTCATAGACGTTTGACAGGCTGCCATTGCTACAGACAAGAAAGAGTCACTCTTGGTAAAATCATTACAGAGTAGAATAGAACCATTTATGTACAATAAAGGCAAAGAAATTGACTGTCAGTAGCAACCTGTTACTCTTTCATATACGTACTGTTGTTTAAAAAGATAATTAAACACCGTAAAAAAGTAGGTAAAAAAACTTRCTGACGTTTCGGACGTTAATCCTTCGTCGGAGTAAAGAGAAGTCAAGAATTAGTTACCGAGAACGGTGCTGTATATAGCGTAATGCCGACGTGCGAGGTAACTAACAAACTTAGTTTTCAATTAACGTGGTTTTTCATTTGCAAAAACTGAATAGAATAAATGAATGTTTTCTTAGGTTGGGATTCGAACACTGAATACAATCCTCTTCTCTTGAGACTTTTCCATGGACTGTTGAATTTAGTTTCCTTTAAGAAAACCTGTTCATGCGAAAGCGAGCATTGGGAATTTGAATATTGTTATCAAATGTTCTTAACAGTCATTCTGGAAACGATGTCGATCAGTGACGACGATTTTTTTATAGTTCAAAATACGTTTACAGCATTCCTTTGCCGAACTTTGATATTGACGATTTGCTTTCGGATCTGGAACACCGGATGCCTCTGCCCGCAAATAACGATGACAAAGTCTTCAGATGAAAAAAAAAACGAGAAAAATTACGATGGAACGGGGGAAGGATTCCAAAAGGAACAAAATAAAGTACCAAATGGTGTGTGCTTGGATAGAATGGGCCGAGGAGCGGAGAAACAAGAGTCACACTATATGACCTATGTTGCTTCTGATTCATACACGTTGGTCCATTCCGAAGTATAGATTCTTTTAAAAGTAACGAAGATGATGATGTTGTGCATATGAAGAAAAGCTGTGGGACTCGAAGTTATCACGCTCTCAATTTCCTCAGGTTATCTGGCCACACTGGTCTTTTTTAGAGGGAAAAATAGATTAGCTAACTTAGTTTATGTGATATTCAGCAGGGAATTGTCGGGTTGATGAATTGAATTGAATAGCTCGTTATGAATCCAGCTTGCTATATATGAGTGATCCCGGTCACCTCATATAGAGGCCGCTGAATATATAACGAGCTATTCGGAATTCAATTCATCAACCCCACATTTCCCTGCTGAATATCAAATCCCTCCCCGGCTTTAAGTTTCTATCATATATACAAACCTACGAATAACAAAGAAAACCTAGTGAATTGGAAACTAAGAAGGATTATAAAGACAAGTATCCTTACCGATATTCTCGTCGTGATTCTGTGAAGACGACAAGGAACAATAACATCACAGTTCCGTACAACAGTCGCATTYTGCTAGCGTGTTAGAATATATCTCTGTAAAAGATACGTGTTGCTGAATGTCGCTCCTTCGTCGATCTGCCCGCTTCTAGAATCTGACTAGAGATCTCATTGACCAATTACAGRAGAGCATAATATGMGGATTTGTACCTCTTGGAACACCGGAAACGGCTKGGGGAGCCTGGTGAAATATGTCACCCACTTTGTCGAGATGGATTTCTATGGTTTTACTTCGGATGGAAAATGAATGACGCTTGATTTAAATCTGTGAACTGGAGCAAGGACAAAGTCCTTTTTTTCTTTTTTCTTTACAAAACATGGCAGCAAGAAAAAAGTAAGATAAATTGGATCGTGATAGTGACCTTTGTAGAAGCCACTGATTTTAATCGTCGACACAGACCTGGAGAGAGTAGCCTCATACTTTAGAGAACGCTTATTTCATTAAGGTGGACCATATTGTAATGTTTGTCAGCACGTTTACGTAGACCAATGTCAGCAATGGCATTTATACATTCAATTCAATTCAATTCAAACTGGAGAGAGTAGCCTCATACTTTAGAGAACGCTTATTTCATTAAGGTGGACCATATTGTAATGTTTGTCAGCACGTTTACGTTTTTGCAGACCAATGTCAGCAATGGCATTTATACATTCAATTCTTTTAACGCTAAGGATTATGGTCGTCTGATAGGGAATCAAAAAGACTCTTTTCACATCATTTCTCAGTGATTTTATCAATGCAGCGAAAATTTATTGTTCAGATTGCATTTGCATTAGGGACTGTGCAATAATTACCAGGAGGGGGGCCGTAAAACCAGAGGGGGGCATAACATAAAATTAATGGCAAGGTWGTGGGGATTCAAAGTAAAATTACCTAATAAACAGAGGGGGGCCTTAAGTTTCATTCAAAATTTTCATAATTTTCGATGTCTCTAAAAACGCGGGAAATCGCGTTTCCAAGAGTTATTTATTTCAAAATTTTCTGGGGGAGGTCCAGACTCCCTTAATACTCCCGCCCTTGACTCATTCCTGCGCTCTCTCGTAAAGTATTGTTCTGAACACTCGAAAATAAAATTCATATCTTCGCGCCACAGTGTGATATCTTTCATATATTTCACGCCAAATCCTATAAACTTAACATAACCTAAACACGATGCGTTCTTGTTTAACCTTGTGTTATGTGGGATCGCTGTATTCATTGTCTGTAACAATCAATGGGTGTCGGGCACAATCGGCACGCCTTTGGTCATAGGTTTTCATCCAGCAGTGCGCGAATTATGTAGAGCGGATTTCGCATGAGTGGGACACCGTTACCGCACGGTTACCGCACAGTTACCGCACCTGGCCTGCAGAATTTTGGTGAAACAATGCGACACTAGAATTTGGTTACAGTACGATTACGGGCACAGYACAGTACCGTCCGTTTCCCACTCATACGAAATCCGCTCTATGACGGACGTATATCCAGCATCAGTCATAGTTTTTGCTGATATTTACTGTCCACTATGGTATCAATCTAACCAGGTTTACTAACCCAGGATTTAGAGTTGGTGGCAGACCTAAAATTACACCGGAGATTTGGAGAAAGTCWGACACTGATATCGGCTGCGATGATGACGATGGCCTTTATTACACTTTCAAAGAAGTAAGAAGAAAAACATGCCTATGATACATACGAATATTCGCTATTTATCAAACTACTTTTTATTTTAATAGTAGTATTTGAATATTTTTACTACATTGAAGTGCGTAGTTTTAGTMAACCACAATATCTTGCTGTTGGTGAACGTTGTAGACAAATACTTTTTTTTCTTTGCCGTAGATTATATACAACGATCCTCAATGGACTCATTCTTATCACAAAACTTGCAATACAACTTACAACACCCTTTAAGTTCACATTCACATTTTTTTCCTTTTAATCTAATTGAGGTACTGAATCCCCTTCCGCAACACAATCTCTTGCAGCCTTCGCTGCCATAAGCGTTCTTCTTGCACAGTCTCCCTCGAGTTCCTGCAGTTCCCAGGCTCGGTTCAGGTCGACAAAAGCTGGGAGAATGATCGGTGTACACGAGGTCTGTTCTTGAAGGGCGTCTTTTGTCGGAATATCTTTCCAGGGTTCTGTTCGCACGTACACGCCAGGATCGCTCGAATTTCTTTAGAAGATCGCCTGCAACTCTATTGAACGATGGTAGTTTACGCCAACAGATCTCGCGAAAATTACCAAAATATCCAAACTGCTTATACGTGCAGACCCTCTGAAGGGAACCTTTTAAGGCCTGAAATTCATTCATAACATTCTCGTTAACTGTTTTTGTTTTTACTGATTATTTACTAGTATTTACTAGATGAGCAATGACAGGTCCAACGTTACGTATGTCAAGCTGAAGAAAAAACTGATTTTATACACAGGATAGATTTAGAGCTGCAGACACTGTAGAATTTTCTTTGCATAAACAGTGATCTTATTACTTTTTCGTAACAAGTTYCACCCAGATTTCTTCTTTTATCATACCATAATTTCTATTTCTACATACATTTGAACTAAAAAGGTTGGCTCGCCAAACTAAACTAATCACCTTCCCTGCCATCCGCCCTTGATGACTGACATTTAATCTAGTGGGTGGGCTTTCGCCTCTTGGAAGACCTAATACAATAGGGTTGTTCAAAACAAAAGAATAAGGTCGCAAAGAGAATTATTGTCCTTTTAAGAACGACACAGCCAATTAGAGTTCTGATCGTTTCGAGAGAGATGAAGGCAAATGTTTATGTTCTTGTTGTATGTCCACAATATTCTCACCTGTCGTCCTGCTTCATTGTTATGTTGAATGAGCAGAGAGAGTTCGTCGTGTTTGGGTGGATCCATATAACGTCTTGATACCTCTTCGCCATACTTCAAGTACATATCAAAATCATAACATGTCCACGAGTGGGAGTTTCCAGTGTTGCAGCCACACTTGTACATGCCGTTTGATACATAACTGTTACAGTGTTTAGTTACATCGTATGCTACCGCGGCGGATGTAATGGCATACACGAAGGCACTTTCACGTATTCCTACAAAGACATGCAATTCACAATATTCCATATTCAGGTTCAGTAACCATGACCAAAGCATTGAACCGAGGCGTCAAGGTAAAGTGAGGATAAAAGAAAGATCGTGATCAGTGTTCCTTGGCGCCTCGGTTCAATGTGTTTTTCGTGGTCACTGAACCTGTGTTTCTTGTGGTGGAAATTAGCGGTAAACTAGTATCAGCTGCGTTGTTGTTTCGAAAGAAAGAGTTGTGCGATTTTAACACCATAAAAAAGAAGGTCAGTGAGTTGTTTTACCTTTTTTACGGTGATAGGATATATCTTCTGTCACAATTGTGTATTGAGAGTCGTGAATTAATGGCGGTATAAGTGGAACACCAGTACTGTGGAACACTTATATATTTCACAAAGACATTTACAAATTTGACATTGAAGTCACCTGACGAAAGAACTRTACATCAAACTGACCGTGCACTTGTAAATAGCAGCTTGTAAATAGCAGCCATCGCACGAAACCTTATAACACAATCCTGTAGTTCTTTATATTTAAATGTGGAAAATCTAATCGTCGGTTTTTTTTCACATGTAGACACCTGTCGGAAACTAAAAAAATCAAAATAACTCAATCTCGAAATAGCTATCTCGCTCATATTCCCTAATGATGGTGTAGGCAGCGAAAGCTCGGAATCATTTATTAAACATTTACTCTCAGCAGCTTCGGCTACAAATTGTACTTTTTTGTAGTAACTTTCAACGTACTATATTGTCTTCCAAATTAAACGGTATTTAAAGAAAAACGACGTTTAGACCGATCCAAGGATAATCGACGCCATATTGCTTCAGGCGCAAATCAACTGGGGCGAGCGCGCGGTCAACCATACATTTCTTTGTTATTGTGTCGGATGGCCTTCAAAAAGTCCCCGAAAAAAGTATGTTCTGCTGATGGAATGTCTTGGAGACTTACATATGTCACAGATGATACATATACGAAGCTATTTAAAGCTTAAAATGTCAATAAATCCAAAAGGACGCGTTAATTTTGAACGATTTTCTCGATCTAGCAGGTCGGCCGCCATGCATTTCTTTGTTATTGTGTCGAACGGACGTCACAAAGTCCTCGAAAAAATATGTTCTACTGATGGGATGTCTTTGAGATTCACATATGTCACAGATGGTACATATAAGACGCTATTCCAAGAATAAAAAGTCAATGAACCCAAAAGGACGCGTTAATTTTGAACGATTTTCTCGATCTAGCGGGTCGGCCGCCATACATTTCTTTGTTATTGTCTCGAACGGACAAGTGCAAGAAAGTCCTTGAGCGAGGTGACAGTCCAGTTCACGAAATCGTCGTATTTGAGCGTTTCTTGTTCCTGTCTCGGCATTCAAAAAGTCATAAAACCATCTAATATAATAATTGATGTCTTCTGGTTGACTTTAACGGCTTTAAAATGTAAAAACTAGCGAAATATTCGAAGATACAAGAGCAGGAGTTGATAGTCGTATTGTTGTTTATTGTTATAAATAGAATAAATGAAGAAAAAGCCACGCAACTTGTAACTAGGTTTTCTACTTTTTAATGAACGTTTCGGCACTTCGGCCTTCTTCTTTTGTTTATTGTTATATGTGTGTTTGGCCGCGCGCTCGCCCCAATCAGTGCGGGTCTCCTTGCGGTATATACGAGGTAAATCGTCATTCTCAAGGAAATCGCTTGGATTTATTGACTTTTTATTTTTGCAAAAGTTTCTTGTATGTATCATCTGTGACATATGTGAATCTCGAGGATATCCCATCAGTAGAACATATTTTTTTGAGAACTCTTTGAAGTCCGCTCGAGACAATAACAAAGAAATGTATGGCGGCCGACCCGCTAGATCGAGAAAATCGTTCAAAATTAACGCGTCCTTTTGGATTTATTGACTTTTTAAGCTTGAAATAGCTTTTTATATGTATCATCTGTGACATATGTGAGTCTCAAAGACATCCCATCAGCAGAACATATTTTTTCGGGGACTTTTTGAAGGCCATCCGACACAATAACAAAGAAATGTATGGTTGACCGCGCGCTCGCCCCAGTTGATTTGCGCCTGAAGCAATATGGCGTCGATTATCCTTGGATCGGTCTAAATGGAAAACTTTGTGAACGAAACTTACACGTAACGAGAAAGTATCCTTAAACGGAAAAGGGAAAGAGGACGTCCGAAGGATAAGACACCGAAGAAATGATGGAAGCAGGAAAGGAAAGAGATGGTTGGAGGGGGAGGGTGATGCTTTTAGCGACTACTGGCGCAAGAAGTCTAGTAGATGAATATGGTGATGAATGATCAATGGTAAGAAA